ACAGCTCCTGGATGCCCGAGGCAGCTCCGGAGCCCTCCCCCCCACCCCGGGGGACTTGCAGGAAGGATTGGGAGAAGACTGCGGAGCAGGGATTGGGAGCAGAGAAAGACGAGAGGCGAGGAAGAGGTGCTTCCGCGCCAGGAGCCGGGAAGCTGGTGGAGTGCTAGCCCGGGGGACTGGGGGCGCGGGGGGTGGGTAGGAAGCAGAAGTCACCTCTCTCAGCCCTAGTTCCTTAAATCTGTCTCGGAGAGTGACCCTAATTCTGCGTTCAGAGCGTTTAAGTGAACCAATGGCAAGAGGGCTCAAAGCTGTGTGGCCCCCACCGAGCTCTGGGGGTCCCTGTGTCGTGCTACTCGAGGAAAAAGGCCACACCCGAGGGGCCTCAAAATCTAAAAACTCTGGGCTAAGCTGCAGAAAACATTTTACTTTCAACCGCTACTTTGAGGTGTGTTTCTTATCTCCCCCCATGAGTGAGAATGACTTCACTTTCCCCCAGGAGCTTTTCGTTCCCCATGGTCCAAGTTTTTCCCTGAAAGCAATTTAAAGGTGGAGAAAACAATCACGGCGCAGTGATGCGTCCTGCTCCATTCTTTTGACTCTCTGGAAGAGGGGGGACAGGTAGGGGATCCCCCACTTTACAGATGGGGAAACTGAGGCCTAAAAGAGAAGCAGATGGCTCAAGGTCTCTGGGCCAACATTGAGCTAGCTGTAGTCAGAACTCTCACTCAGCAGCACTGCAGCTATCCATGGCTGGGCTGGGCTCACTGTGACACGGGACCCCCTTTGCGGCAGTGTTCTGTCTGATGCTCTCTGAAGACATACAGCCTGCTGATCCTGATTGTCCCAGAGTAAACCAAACAGAGCTCACTGTGTTCCCTGCTGTCCCAAGATTCCTGGATCTGATTTGCAAGCATTGGGGCCTGGAGTTTCCACTGTCACGTGGTGAGGAGAGTGACCCAGGCCAGGCCAACAAGCACAACTGAGGCTCTGTGAGCTCCAGGAAAGGCTGAGAGGCTGCAAGCCCAGAAGGTAAGGACCCCAAGACCTGAGTTTCCCCTTCAGCCCAGAACCTCCCCTGCAAGACTTTAAGCAAGTCCCTTTGGCAATCTGGGCCTAGTTTCCTTCCAACTTGTATTTCCAAGATTTCCTTAGGGAGAAGAGCTAGTTACCTTTGCATCTGCATGAAGGGCATCTGGTTCAAGGGCTATGAAGGAATTTCCCATAACTCCACGGATCCTCTCCTTTGTATTTACAAAACTTCTAAGGGCACTTCAAAGCTGAGGGCACTTCTAAATTCAGGAAAGTAATTCCTGGAGAAGAGCCGCATGGTTTTCTACAGATCACCAGCATTCTTCCCTCCCCCTAAAAACTGAACATAAAATGGGTTTTTCCAAAGGTGTATGCTGGGGATACTCTGAGGGCTGGAAGCAGGTGCAAAGGAGACGGAAGTCACCCAGCACCCGCCCACGTCTACACTAACCCATTCCTTCTAAACTAGGAGAATAACCTCCAAGGGGCTGGAACCCACTCTGTGGCTCAAATGGTTCTCAGTGGCATGTGCTACCCTCCACAAATGTTAAGGAACACTGTACCAGAGAAGAGGGAGGACTTGACCAGACAAAAGCAAAGAAACGCCCTGGCATCTTGAGGGATCTGTTTGCAGAGTTTTGATCCAAACGGTTAACTGTCCCAGTTCATTCATCAAATCATTTACTTCGAATTTTGCATCATGGATTTACAGACTCTTCAAAGTACAGAATTTTGAAATGTCTTACGAGAATAAAACATCTATGGAATAGAATCTTTAGGATCCTTCTTTGTTCATGAAAATCTTGACCTTAGGAAGTAATAATCTCAGGATGCTAACGCTTGATCTGATGCACAGGTGTAGCTCTGTAGCAGCAAAGTCTGAGAAAAAGGAATCGGAATTCTAGAAGAATGGGTTCACGGACACAAAACATTGAGGATCAAGAAATTCCGAGACATGAGGCTTCTAGTCATAATCATTGGAGCTTAAAAGTAAAGAATCATAAAGACCAATCATTAAAGCATACAGTCATGACTATTATAGGAATTATCAGAATTAGAGTCTTCAAGTTACAGAATAGTGGAGCCAGTACTGACATCTTGTAATTCTAATGGATCCAGTACTAACATTCTGGAATTAAGGAAGAAGAGAGAAGTGCATTTATGCAACCCAAATCTTCTAATCAGATATTTCTAGAAAGGAATTCAAATTAAGTAATATATATCTCAGAGCTGTGAAAATATCTAAGAACTAAGGAAGCCACAGTTCCCGGTAGTGACATCATATTTTCAGACATAAAATCTTAGTTCCAAGCATCTCAAAATACAAGGAATTCGCTTTTACATTTTGAGCAGAAGCTTAAAGTCATAGGAATATAATTACAGGTAAAGAATTTAGACTTCTGGTCATGGACACTTAAGAGTTACAGAATCGTATTATTTGATTTATGAAAACTTGTTGGGATAGTGATCCAAACTTAAAAATTTGGAAATCTGAATCTTGGAATTTTGGAAATACACGGAGCCACAAAATCGAGCGCTGAAAGATTGCTATGACGTAATCTGGCTAAAATAAATTTTTTTAAACTTTTTTTTTTCCTTTTGCAAAAACGTAACAGGGTGAAATCTGGATTTTTGCTTTTTCGTTACTTTGGAAGAAGGAAACAGAGTTTTGCTGAACCAGTGAAAAAGCCCCTCTCGAGTCATTCAAGCACCCATCCGCTGAGGAAGGTCTTCATGCAAACCATGCAACTGCTTCCAAACCCGGGTCGGCGGAGCGAGGATCTGAGTTCTCTGCCTCTTTCTACCGAAGGCAGTTGCCTCAATGCTCCGCCGGGCGGAACCTACAGCGGGCTCGCAGCCACCAAGGACGCGATTAAAATCCCTGAAGGCCCTGCCGTCGGCGCTCTTGAGACTCGCTCCGTCTCACCCTACACACGCAGCCCTGCAGAAAGCTGCACCCGGGCTAGAACCTCTGGGATGGGCGCCAAGACCCGGATTCCTAAAGGCAGAAAGGACTCCGAGGTCCGCATCTGCCCTCCCGCCCCCAATTCACGGAGCAGAAAATTGAGGCCCTGCTTCAGAGAAAGGACCCGCCCAAGGTCTACCCGCGCAAGACCACCAAGCGAACGCAGGCTAGCAGGGCGGCCGCCGCAGGGCGTCTCGGGTGAGGCCGGAGGTCCCACCTTGGGGGATGGCCGGAAACGAACTCAGAAACCGGACACCCGGGAAACAAATGGATCCCCCCTTTGCCCGCCCCTTCCCCTGGAGACGCGCGCTCCTGGAGCACCCACACCTCAGGCCCCCTCCTCTCGCAGCCCTTGCGCCCCTCTGCGGGAAGGGGCTGCTCCGCTTCCCCCGGGGTTCTGGGAGCCACTTGGAGCCCTCCCTGGTCTGGGCGAACTGGAGGAGGAGGTTACCACGACAGCACAGAAGCCTAGCATTCATCCTCTACAAGCCGTGCGCCACTTTCCTCCGAATTGAGGGGGCCCAGGTCACCCAAAGGCAGGTGATGGGGAGGGAGCTTTCCCTAAAAATTGGCAACGGAAGGTCTCTCGAGGTGCAAACACTCCGTGCAGTCCAGGAACCTGGGACCCAAATAGAGAAAGTGGCTGCCTCGGGCACAGATCGCGCGGGCGAAGCGCCTCTTAACACAGCCGAAGGTGTGAGGCTCCGTTAAGCGGCAAAGGTGAGGCTGGGGCAAGTCACCTCCCCGATCGGGCCTAGGCAATCCTCGTCTGAAGGATGAGGGACAGGATGGGCAATGGGCAAGGCAGTTTTGGGGTTTGAAAATCACCCCTGAAATACCTTAAGCGCCAGCCGACTGGAAGGTCTTCTTCCTTCCCCATTCTCTGCTCCACAAGAACCAAGCACCCCCTCGGCCATTCCTCACCTCTCCCGACCAAAAAAAAAAAAAAAAAAGGTGAAGCGAGCCGGGAGCCGGTCCTTTTCACCTGCGGGTCCCAGCCTGCTGCAGAGGTTAGTGAAGTCCGGGAGCGCGGAATTCCCGCGCCAAGGTCTCCCGAGACAGTCCCTGGCCTCTCCAGGCCTCAGTCTCCCCGTCGGCGCGCAGGGGAGGCCAGCCCCGCTGAGCTCCGAGTGCCCTCCCCGCTCTGACGTTATGGGGCTCCCGCCGCGCCTCCACAGCTGCTCTCACCTGCAGAGGTGCACCCGGGCCCAGGGGGCGGGCAGTCGGGGGGCGGGCGGGCACCCGGCGCCGCCCCGACCTTCCTGGCGCCTTTAAGGAGGAGAAGCCGGCGGAGGGAGGAGCCGGTCCGGGTGTGTGCAGGGGAGCGCCTCGCCTGCAGTTTCGGCGGCCGGAGGCCAACGGTGAAGAGAGGAACAGTCGCCGGCCTACCCGCCTGGCCCGCACCAGTGCTCATCTTGCCTCCTTGCCCTCCGCAGCCTGGGCCACAGAGGCGCCGCCTAAGCAGCCCCCACCGGAGTGCCCCACGCCTGTCTCAACTGCCCTCGCTTCAGGCCTTCGGGCCCGGAGCCTCCTCTGGGCGCACGACTTCGAAGGTTAACCTCAGATCAGCGGGAAGCACAGAGCAGCTGCAGGCGCCCCAGCCCCAGGACCGCTTCCGGACCCCTTGACCGTCGGGCACCAGCGCGCAGAGGGCCCTTCAGCCCGCGACCGGGGCCTAGGTCCGGTCCCAACACCGCTGCCGGCGCCTGGCCTCGAGCTCCAGAACACGAGCAGAGCCGTCGGTGGGCGGGACACTCCTGAGCCTCAGTCTGCACCGAGCCAGCCCGGACACCGCGGACACCGCTGGCACCGAGCCTCCCGGTCACCCCTGCTGCGGAAGCGGTGCGCTGGGTGCCAGCCCACGAGGCCTCCCAGCGCTCTCCGCAGTGGGGCCCAGTGCCCGCTCCCTTGGCCCTGCAGCCCAGCCTCTCGGCTTCCCAAACCCGCCCCGCCCCTCGACAGCAGCGGGCGGCGGGGACACCCCGGGACGCGGGACGGCTGCGCCATGACGGCAGAGAGCCGGCCGCCGCCGCCGCAGACGGAGGCGCTGGCGGCCGTGAAGGAGGAGCGCGGTGAGGCTGGGACCGGGGTCCCGGCGGAGGCTGCGGGTCGCGGCGCGGGAGGGCGTCGGAGGAAGCGCCCCCTGCAGCGCGGAAAGCCGCCCTACAGCTACATCGCGCTCATTGCCATGGCTATCGCGCACGCGCCGGAGCGTCGCCTCACGCTGGGCGGCATCTACAAGTTCATCACCGAGCGTTTCCCCTTCTACCGCGACAACCCCAAAAAGTGGCAGAACAGCATCCGCCACAACCTGACGCTCAACGACTGCTTCCTCAAGATCCCGCGCGAGGCCGGCCGTCCAGGCAAGGGCAACTACTGGGCGCTCGACCCCAACGCCGAGGACATGTTCGAGAGCGGCAGCTTCCTGCGCCGCCGCAAGCGTTTCAAGCGCTCGGACCTCTCCACTTACCCAGCCTACATGCACGACGCGGCCGCCGCCGCCGCCGCAGCCGCCGCCGCCGCTGCCGCCGCCATATTCCCGGGCGCGGTGCCCGCTGCCCGCGCGCCTTACCCCGGCGCCGTCTACGCAAGCTATGCCCCGCCGTCGCTCGGCGCGCCGCCCCCAGTCTATTACCCCGCTGCGTCGCCAGGTCCGTGCCGCGTCTTCGGCCTGGTGCCTGAGCGGCCGCTTAGTCCTGAACTGGGCCCCGCGCCGTCGGGGCCCGCGGGCTCCTGCGCCTTTGCCTCCGCCAGCGCTTCCGCCGCCTCCACCGGCTACCAGCCTGCGGGCTGCGCTGGGGCCCGACCTGCCAATCCCTCCGCCTATGCGGCCGCCTACGCGGGCCCGGATGGCGCGTACCCGCAAGGGGCGGGCAGTGCCCTCTTCGCCGCGGCTGGCCGGTTGGCTGGGCCCGCCTCGCCCTCCGCGGGTGGCAGCGGTGGTGGCGTCGAAACCGCGGTGGACTTCTATGGGCGCACATCGCCCGGCCAGTTCGGAGCGCTGGCGCCCTGCTATAATCCTGGTGGGCAGCTCGGAGGGAGCAGTGGAGGCGCCTACCATGCTCGCCATGCGACTGCCTATTCCGGCGGTGTGGATCGATATGTGTCCGCCATGTGAGCCCAGCATACAGTCGGAAATTCCCAGATACCTCTGCTGTCCACACGAACTAAGTATCCCCAAGACCTGAGAACAGAACTGGAGAGAGGATTGAGCGCCGCGTAGAAGGAACCGGTGCACTACACACACACACACACACACACACCCGGTTCGCGTTTGAAATGGGAGGAGGTGGGGAGGGGCTGCGGTGGCCCACGGACTGGGACAAAGGACCCTCGATAAGGCGAAGTTCCAAAGGACATGCCTTTCTGACATTCTACTGGGGAGAGTCTTTGGCGATAATGGGGGCACAGCGCAATGCCTACGCCAGAGCCCAGGATCCACATTGTGGGGAATCACGTCTTCACTCTTCCCTATATTGCAAGAAACTCGGGTCTTTTTACACGGTTCTGCCTCTTGTGCCTTTGATTAAGTTACTGTAACTAAAAGGCTCCAGTAGCATCTTCCTTAAGGTGCGGAGGATGAATTTGCCAGAGAAGTAGCCTCCCTCTTTAAAACAAACAAACAAACACACACACACAACAGGGAAATCTCTGCTCCGTTTGACTGGGGGCTGGTTTTCCCTGCCTCTAAGAACTACAGACCTGACTCTCAGTCTGGACTGTTCGTGCCTCAGCTCTATAGTGTGACCTAATTCTCACCACCCAAACCCCCTGTCCCCCCATCTGTTTGACAGGAGGGCTGCAGGATTGGCCCCCCGTGTGATCTTTAAGGGCCCCATTGTCATCATAGATGCCACCTTGCATATTTGGCAGCATAGGGGGGGACCACCCAGGGCCTAGCCCTATTCCCAAGTACAGGAATAGAGGTCATGGCAACCGCCTAACCTAAAGTCTCTGGGTTGGTTCCAGGCAGCAAATATATTATAATTTCTTGAATCTTTTGAGCATGATGTGCTGATCATTTGGTAGTTGTTACTGCGAGGTCATAAATTCGGTTTTCTAATGAGGCAGGTAAAAATAAATTTTTCCATTGCCCACTCTTTCTTTTCATTAAGCAACCCCGGACCAAATTGGCAGACTAAAATTCAGAGAGACCACAGGAGTCAGGGGAGCCCTTTGGTGACAGCTCTCCGTTGGTCGAGCCAGCTCTTCCATCCCTGGCACCCTCTGCCGCATGAAAAGGAAAGAGAAAAAATAATTGGGGCTGTCAGTGAAGTAAGCTTTAGAAAGAAACTGGATCTTTCACTTTGTTTTGTATCCGTTCGTTTTAAGCGTCAAGCTGACCAAAATCATAGAAAATCCAACCACTTTCTCACCATTCTCTTGGGAGATCTTACAAGTTTTTATTCTGGAGTGAACATTTCCAATGTTAAACACTCCGGAGGCTCAGTGTGCAGCTTTCAGATAAACCTGAGGATTCAGATGAACTGTCTTAATAAAAATCTTTGACCGAGTTCTGGCAAGAGATACTCAGCCCCTTTCTGTGTAGTTAACTTGCTAGGGAAGAGGTGGGGATTGTGTGAGAAGACTGAAAACCACTTGTAATTTTTATTTTTAATTTTGGCAATTGCTCTATCTTGTTCACAAAGACATGTGAATGTGATGTGATTCCGTCCAGACGGGTATTTGTCTCAATCGGTACATTCCAATAGAAATGTAATGCAAACTACATGTGTAACTTAAAATTTTCTAGTAGCCATATTAATAAAATTTTTAAAACAGCTGAGATTAACTAATACATTGTATTTAACCCGGTATAGCCAAACTATCATTGGAACATACAATCAATATATAAATTGTGGAGATATTTTATCTTTTTTTTAAAAGATTTTATTTATTTATTTGACAGAGATCACAAGTAGGCAGAGAGGCAGGCAGAGAGAAGGGGAGGCAGGCTCCCTGCGGAGCAGAGAGCCCGATGTGGGGCTCGATCCCAGGACCCTGGGATCATGACCTGAGCTGAAGGCAGAGGCTTAACCCACTGAGCCACCCAGGCACCCCAATATTTTATCTTTTTTAAACTAAATCTTCCAAATCTGGAGTGCATTTACACTAGCAGCTCATCTAAATTTGGACTAGCCACAGGCCAGGTGCTCAGTAGCAGTACGTGGCTGATGGCTATTGTATTGGACACCACAGGTCTAGATGCTGGTCCTTCCTGACTTCAGTGGTGGTTAATGACCCTCTGGAGGCAGGAGGCAGCTGGAACACTGACCTTGCTGCAGTGGGTCCAGGTTCCAGATCCAGCCCTGAGACTTTGCAAAACTCTAGGTTTGGGGCCTCTCTCATCTCCCTGTGGACCCTTGCGGGAATGAAATTAGAAGGTTCTTCATGTGCAGCTCGACAATCTGGCTCTCCCAGCCCAGAAGTCAAGATGCTTTGCCTAGTAGGCAGTTACCAGGAAAACCGAGAGCCCTCCACCCAGGGGTTTTGTCCTTGGCTGGCAAGAGCCCAGATGTGGTATTCCGGCTGGGGAAGGGTGGTCTATATGCCCAGTTAGTGAGGGAGTTGACCCTTTGTTTTTTCAGTTACCAAGACCAGTGCTTTGGCCATTAACTGTCAGTCCCTTTTTCTCCACTGTCCAATTTGTGAATGGGAATTTGTGGCCACCTCAGAGAGTCCTCCTTAAGTTAAAGGAGATGAGAGTTTACGGAAAAGCTCTTTGTGAATTATAAAGTGCTGGGCACAGGAGGGAGGAGAGGCTTTAATTTTTAAAGCGCCGCCTTATCGAAGCCTCCTGCAGCGAGAAAGATGGGGCGGGAAAGTGAAGGCATCTTCCCCTCCCTTCTCCCTTTTGTCAACTAGGACGTCAAGTGTGGTTGTGTCCTAGAAGAGGGTCTGGCCGGGAGAGGGAGGACACCGGGAGCAGGGAACGGGGTGTGCGCAGTGGGAGCCAGCCGGGAGAGACGGGGAGACGCGGGAGGGTTGGACCGTCAGCGCTTCTCCGCCTCTCCGTGGGCCTCGGACACCCCAAGCTCGAGCGCCATCCGACCTGCCTGGAATAGAAGCTGCGCCGGCGAGGGAGCGCCGCTCTGGCTTCAACCACAGTCCGCGGGACTCGAGATCTTGAGAACATTTCACTGCGGGGTCTTGGACTATTCCAACTCTAGGAATCCCCAAACCGTGGAACAGAACCTCCCTGTTCCCCCATCTGGGGGCTCAGAAACGCGAGGTACGTTTCTCTTTTTCCTCTTCTTTTCATGAAACTAGAAAAATCATTTGCCCCTCTCTGGGCCCTGCACCCCCAGCGTCGTGTGCAGGCGCCCCCGGGCTGTGGGTAATTAGATGCGTTCTTCCCTAATTGCCCAAGGCTCGTCAGAATTCGCCCCAGAGCTGTAACATTTATTTTCTTTCAAATTAACTTTGCTTTGCAATTAAGTTTAGGAAACCAGCAACAAAAGCAGACTTGGCCTGAGGTCGTTTACTACGAAAACGGATTAGGGAGACTTCTCCCCCAATTTACAGGGAAAGATTCCTGCGGCCAGCGTTTGGGGGAAGTGTCCCGACAGCAGAGGCGGAGTGGGAGCAGGAAGCTGCTGGCGGCCTGTTGTGGATGGTAACCGGCTTTGGCCTTCTTCCCCATCTCCGTGATTCGTGTGCCCAGAGGAATAAGAGTATCGTCCTTGAAATAAATTAGGGATGGTTAAAGCCGACCTACACACCCATGACATGAAGCTGATGTATACAGTTAGTTTACCCAGCACGGTTCATAAACAAAATCTCATTTACTAAGAACTTTGTGAGAATGTTTTATTAAATTGTATTCTTATTACAAAAATTGGTACATCTTCATTGTAAAAGAAAAAAACAAAAACAAGTTAGAAAGAAAGAAATCAAAGGAACCCATACTTGGCCCAGAGAAAGCACAGCAAACACCTCAATGAATATCTTCTAGTTCTCCTTTTTGTTTTTCCTATGCAGGAGGCCTAAGTCTCAACTTTTGTCCTGAAAGGCTGTGAGATCTTGAACAATTTCCTTCCTACACTGAGTAGGCCTCATTCTTACCTGCTACAAAACTAGGGGGCAGGTCCCCTTTACTCTCACATTCTTTTTTTTTTTAACATTATTTATTTATTTGATAGACAGAGACCACAAGTAGGCAGAGAGGCAGGCAGAGAGAGGAAGGGAAGCAGGCTCCCGCTGAGCAAAGAACCAGATGCGGGGGCTCAATCCCAGGACCCCGGGACCATGACCCGAGCCAAAGGCAGAGGCCTTAACCCACTGAGCACCCAGGCGCCCCTACTCTCACATTCTTGATCTTCTCTGTTCTGGGTCACTTGAATCCTGGATGCAAAGGCCAGGACTCACTCCGGCTCCCGTTGTCTTACATAAGAGACTAAAGCCTTGCAACTTCAAGTGTTGGACATACACCAGCTGCAGTGACGTCCCCTGGGAGCTCACTGCAAATGCAGAAGATCAGGTCCTACCCCAGATCTTTAGGCCAGAACCTGCATTTCAGCAAGACCCTCAGGTGATTCATATGCCCTAGGCAAAGAGGCAGAAATTTAGAGAAATAAAAAAAAATGCATTATGTTGTCAAGATCAGAGATCCCAGAGTAACTTCCAGGAGCTTCCTGTTCCTGACCAAGAACCCCAACCAGTGATCCCAGCGCTACTTTGAGGCTCTGGCTGCACAGGGGAGCAAGCTGGGCTGCAAGGGAGGAAGGCCGGGTGGGGCACTTCATCTCCTCCCTGGCTTGTACTTCCTGAGTCTTGGAATTTAGCCTTAGTGCATCTCACCTCATGTCCCCAGCCTTAAGGCTGAACTGTGACCTGGCATTCAATGAGGTTATACCTGAAAGCATCTTGAAAGCTGGGGTGCCATTTAGAGCCAGGGCAGGAAGATCTTGGATTCTGGTCTCTATAACCTCCCTAAGCAGAAGCCATTTCCCAAGTATGGAATAAACTTGGTCTCTGTTCCCTCAGCTCTAGCCCCAAATTTGGGAGTAGTTAGGGATTCTGGAGAAAAATAATGCTCTCTTCTTGGGCCACAGTAGCCAGCAGGAAGGAACCCCCCATCTCTGAGTTTGTCCTGGCCAAGGGATCCTCCAGTACAGCCTTTAAGTGCCCCTTGGACAGCCTAAGATTCTGGACACTCTAATGAATTCTGTCCTGCCTCAAATACACACCTTTCAGGAGAATTTGGTTT